GCAGTAGGTCTGGTAAGAAATCCGGTTGATTGGAGTGTTTTATTGTCGTTGAATTTTGAATTGTTTTCGCGTTCAGCCGCAAAAAAGGAAATTGCGCGCAAAGTTTTCCAATAATAGAGCAATTCTTACCTTCTAAGACGTAGACGATACTTCCCACATCGCCCTCGCAAATAATGAGGCTGCCTGCTTTGTATTCTTCCGGGTACATGCAATCGACGATTTCCCGGATTTGCGTCAGTTCCAGATTTTTCATAAAGTCGTTGTCCAGAATTGCTGCCTTGATAAGTTCCCGAGAACTGCAAAAAACGAGGCATTAGAAAAAACAGGTACACAGTGCACAATCGACAGTTTGAAGAAGCAGATTTTAACCTTCCCATAGGCGCATTTGAACACTTTCCAAAAACTTTATTAAAACTCAGGGCGTCCTGCAAAAATATTTATGGTACCACACAACCTGAAATGTGTAAGGCAAAATTGTCAAGAAAGGTATTTTGATTTTGACTCATTTCCCTGACTGCGTGCAATTGTCATTATATTCTGATCCTTCCTGGGTCTCAGCCAAAGTGTGAACTAAAAATCTGAATATCGTTGATTTCATTACGTTTCGGCGAGACAACAGCGCCATCATCAGATTAAAATTCAAAACAAACCCATAATTGGGCACATTTGATTCTTTATATGTTTGTCGGCCAAACATATAAAGAATCAAATGTGCCCAATTATGGGTTTGTTTTGAATTTTAATCTGATGATGGCGCTGTTGTCTCGCCGAAACGTAATGAAATAAACGATGTAATCATTTTGACTGAAACCCTGGAAAGAAAAAAGTGACACCCCCAACCTACCAAGTCTTCTTCGGAATTTTCCTGATTTGTAGATCACTTTTGCTCAAGTTGAGCGGTTCCGCACTAATACCCTCCCGCTTCACCCTGGACGGTTCCGGTGTTTGTGGCGGTTCCTCCGCCTGCTTGTTCTGCGTCTGCACCACCCCGTGCTTCTTGCCATTGAGACACCAAATGTCGCTGCCCAGATTGATCTGCTTGGTGATGATGCGCTGGGTGATCGGCGCCACCACTTGCCTGAACTTGTCGATCTCATTTTGCAGATATTTGATCATCAGCTCTTTGTCCTCGAGCTTTCGTTCCAGTTGTGCGATCGTCTCATCCTTTCGCACCAGTTCCTTGTTCTTCTCGTCCAGCAGGACTTTGTAGTGGTTGATGATCTCCATCTCGTGCGGCGACATTTTCTTGTTGCGATGGATCAGTTTGTTCACGAAGCTGTAGCAGCTCATTTTCGATGGATTTTCACTGGGGCATTCGCACTATCGCAGGAATTCGATTCGTTTGACTAAACCGGCGAGAGTCGAGCAAATGAAGGTGGGCATGTCGGGAGGCTTAATCTCAGCTGCGTCTACTCAAGTTTAATCGGCTGATTGGTACTTAGTACACGTTTTATCTTTCGGCAAAGCCAGAAAGAGCCGATAAAGATAATTGTATTAATTGCTTTGTTATGCAGCAATTCGACGAATCACGGACTCATGAACATATCTGCTATTGGGAGGAAAACTTTGCATTGCGGATCACAGTTCAGATCCGAGTGATTTATGCAATGGTCGCATGCGTTGGCCAATTAACTTTTCAAAATCACTAATATGGGTTAATTGCAACTGGAATCAGTCGGTTTGGTTTATGCATTTTGATCGATGCCGAGGCTGAAGTGTGATTCGATATGCAGGCTGCATTGAGTGTACCTGCATGCCTGCAGTTCCATTGGCGGCAATTACAGTATATGCATGTTAATTGGCTAACATCATGTGCGAACTTTGTAACGAGAAAAAACGCAGCATTTTAATCCTTGAAATCGCATTTAATGCGATGTATTTGTGGCCATGCTAGAACGGGCATTTACTTATTTATAATAAACTTTTCGCCCAAAGGATTGGCTTATTTTCCATCTGCTAACCAGTGGTTAAAGCCTCTAACTTCGGGAGACCGTTAACTCAGAGCAGGGCGATACGATAATAATTAAGTTGCCAATTTAGTGGAAATACCGTATTTAGGGTCGAGATGCTTTTATCGGTTTATGCGCGCTTTTGGCTTAAAATATGCCAGATTTGTGCACTAAAGGGTCTTAAACCTGCATGAGAGATTTCATTGCTCTGCTCGCTTTGGTTTGCAGGCGGGGGATGGTTGCAAAATGTGTCCAAAATGGTAAAAGCGAGTTTAAATTTGCAGGTTTGAAATTTTGCAAATTTAATCTGCATTTTGATATACTTGAAACTTTTAGTGCCACAATTTTCTTCTAAATCAACCTGAATATCGTGAAATTCTCATGATTTGCCTTCTGCAACCAATATGAGAAAGATTCGTCGGTTCAGCTTCGAATTTAAATTTTTTTAAAACTTTCGTGCTATTAAAATAGCAACTCCAATTTAAAAAAAAAATCAAAAAAGGTTTGAAATTTTGCAGATTTAATCTGCATTTTGATATACTTGAAACTTTCAGCATTTCAGTCCCACAATTTTTGTCTAAATCAACCTGAATATCGTGAAATTCTCATGATTTGCCTTCTGCAACCAATATGAGAAAGATTCGTCGGTTCAGCTTCGAATTTGGATTTTTTTTTAACTTTCGTGCTCTTAACAATTAAAGCAACTCCAATTTAAAAAAAAAATAAAAAAAAGTTTGAAATTTTGCAAATTTAATCTGCATTTTGATATACTTGAAACTTTCAGCATTTCAGTGCCACAATTTTTGTCTAAATCAACCTGAATATCCTGAAATTCTCATGATTTGCCTTCTGCAACCAATATGAGAAAGATTCGTCTGTTCAGCTTCGAATTTGGATTTTTTTTAAACTTTCCTGCTCTTAAAATAGCAACTCCAATTTAAAAAAAAAATCAAAAAAGGTTTGAAATTTTGCAAATTTAATACAAAAATACCTTTGCTCTTAACCAAATCTGTTCCAACTTCAAGTTTTTCAACTTTCTTCAAATCAACCCGATTTTCGAATTGCTTGAAAGTTTCAGGATTTATGCACTTAAGATCTTCACTCCATATGGGACATTTTCGGTTTTTGCTCAGATCAGTTTCGAGTTGGGAAGTTTTTTAAAACGTTTTTGCTTTAACACAACCGACTTACGACTTCAAACTTTCGATTTTTTCTGAACAACTTAAGTACCGGTTTTTCGTTATTCCTGAAATGTTGAGGATTTTCGCACTTCAACGTGTACACGAGGGAGTTTAGGTCTCTGTTCAGTTCAGCTTTGTGTTGGGACTTTTTTGAGAAACGTCTTTGCTGTTAAACAGCCGACGTACAACTTCAAACTTTTAATTTTTTCGAAATCAATCCGTTCTTAAAATTGCTTGAAATTTACGGGGTTTGCGCTCTTAATTGTCTCCCGTTAACATGCAAAAGTTTTGGTTTCTGCGAAGTTCAGTTTCGAGTTGGGA